AGACCTGGTTTAGTCCTGGTTTAGTCCTGGTTTAGTCCTCGGTTTAGTCCTCGGTTTAGTCCTGGTTCAGTCCTGGTTTAGTCCTGGTTTGGTCCTCGGTTTAGTCCTCGGTTCAGTCCTGGTTCAGTCCTGGTTTAGACCTGGTTTAGACCTGGCTTAGTCCTAGTTCAGCTCTGGTTTAGTCCTGGTTCAATCCTGGTGTAGACCTGGTTTAGTCCCAGTTTAGTCCTGGTTTAGACCTGGTTTAGACATGGTTCAATCCTGATTTAGACCTCGGTTCAGTAAGGGTTTAGTCCTGGTTTAGTCCTGGTTCAGCTCTGGTTTCATCCTGGTCTAATCCTGGTTTAGACTTGGTTTAGTCCTGGTTTAGTCCTGGTTTAGACCTGATTTAGTCCTGGTTTAGACCTGGTTTAGTCCTGGTTTTGTCCTCAGTTCAGTCCTGGTTTAGTCCTGGTTCAGCTCATACACGGCTCAGAAGTTCTTCGCTTGCTTATTGTTATTTGACGATCAGTGACAGTTATTTTATTGAGACGATCTTAAATTGCTGTAATAGTCATGTAATGTTTTACATTTTAAACACAGTAATATTATAATGTAACAAATTATTTTAAAATGACAGTAACAAGTCATAAATAACACATTACAGTTTTGAAGTAACTTGTCCAACAGTGAAAGTGTTTAATGTAAAGTGAAATGGAGCCAGAGGTGATGGAACAGGAAAAGCCCCCACGTTCACTTCCTATTTGGAACGATGTGGCTAGAGCGCTAGACATGCCAATTTATTTAGGAGTAGAAGAGAATAGAAGAGGTATAATAATTTAATAATAATTATTTTAAAAGGTACTGTGTGTAAACTTGGAAATAGAAAATTTAAAACGATTCTTTCAATATTCTCCACGGAGACAGACAAACATGTTTTGCACCACACTGTGGAACTTGCTGGAACTGGAAATTGCTCAGAGGAAAACAAACAGGCACACAGAGTCAGGTTTGTGGAGATGCAAGCCCACATAACAGCAACAATGCATGTTCTTTTTTTAATTTTCAGTGCAGGAAACATATGGGTCCAGTCAAGTGGTAACAGAGGGAAACAGGGGTAGATTTTTGACATTCAAATGTCTCTTATTCAGAAACTAGAGGGACTATTGAAATAAGTAAAGTATCAGAATGTAGGAAAGAGTTACACTCCAACAGGGTCAAGTTAAACCTGTGATATTCTTTCAAGTTGTTGACAAAAAATTTAAAAACTCATGTCAGTAACGGAGGGAATGAAATATGCAGCACTTTTTGGACAATAAATACAAACAGTGATAACTCTTGGTTCTCACTTACATATCCTTAACAAACTGGTTTGAATATTTGCTTCATATAGTTTTCTACCATATGGTACAAGATTAGGTTGAAAAACCTCTTACTTTTTGAGTAATGAGATTTTTTATTAAGAAAGGTCATGGAAAAGTAACGGAGGGAAAATTGTACAAACAAGTAGAAGGTGCATGATTTTACATAATTTGTTGCTTTTTTCTTCCGAATACTTTAATATTACTTCAAAATGAAAGGAAACTATTTCTATAAAATATGTCAGTCCTTCCAAGCAAATTTTTATCATTTTAAATACATTTTTAAAAAAATCATGTCCCTTCATCAACAGTTCAAAGATGGAATAACACAAGATATGATGAAATACATCCATTTATTTACATGATTTTCAGGTCTTTGAAATTTGGGAAATAATTTTTGTTCCATGTTTCATACATGGTCTGTTTAAAATGTATGTAACTTTAGAACCAAAAATGGTACAGAAAAAAGGTCAACAGTTTCATAAACTAGAGTACATATGTATCTGTTCAATACATTTTTATATCAGATGCATTAACTTGAATTTTTGGCCTTGCTGTTTACTTCTGCTTGACCGGGCCCATATTTAAAATAAAATAAAGAATAAAAGCTTGTTTAAGTTGCATACTGTGGCTTTAATTAAACAAAAAAAATGAATATGGCATTTTCAAATCAACAAAAGCCAACACAGTGATCTAAAAGTTACGCGTTAACAGTTATTTCCATAAAAGTAAAACACCGTCTCTTTAAAATGACATGATCGTTATTAGTAATGCTCGTAAAGTATTATTAAACCTCGCAGGAATTCCATTTTAAAAACAATTAGAGCCAGACCATAATACTAATAATACATCTTAATTACATAATACTATTTTTTATGTATTGGGCTACAGAGGAGGATTTTTGCAGTTTCCTGTTTCATTTGGCTGCACACTACATTCCAGCTCTGGTAGTGGACCGGCTGGCAGCACGCTTCACTGAAAATGCACTAAATGAGCTCTGTTTTGTCTTGGACAGTTTAAACTCTCTGAAAAACACTGGATTCCTCAGAAGCAGCTTCATGGGAGATGCTGGCGTGTGACAGTGTAACAGAGCTCCAGTTTTGGTTTCTCTTCGCACCGTGAGAAGATCTGCAAGCGACAAAAGCTTTATGTTGGAAATATTAAAGGACCTAATTTTTAAAAAAAACTATACCTGGAGTTGTGTTTTGTTCCATTCTCACATGTTTAACACACAAACCTGCATCTTTAGGCTCTTTAAGTTCTTTTCTCAAACTGAAAACACTCTGATCTAACTCGTGACGTCATGTGGCAAGATGGGAAGTGCTCCAGTGTGTTTTTAAACTCCATCGAACCATTTTCTTCCTTTTATCCGGGGCCGGGTCGCGGACTCCCAGACTTCTTTCACCCCCGGACACAGGCAGGTTTTAACGTTCTGGAATTTTACGAGTGGGTAGTAATTAAACACGGGCATTTCAGGACTAAATCAGGACTAAACCAGGACTACACCAGGACTAATCTTGGACTTAAGAGAGAGAACTCCAAGCCTGTGGAGCAGGGTGTCCGCAAAGTGTGATTGGGCGATGGCTGCGCTAAACTTCCTGGGGTGCGGAGCTCTGTGCTGGTCCTTTCACCCGTAGTCATCTGACGGTCTACGCGGGCGCACCTACGAATCCGTCCCTACAGTGAGTCCTGGTTCAGTTCTTGTTTAGTTCTGTTTTAGTCCTAGTTTAGTCCTCCTGCTTCACTCCTGGAATCAGTTCTAGTTTAGTCCTGGTTCAGTCCGTGGTGTGTGTGGCACAAAAGTCCAGCATCTCAATCAATGTTTCTTCGGCTCAGTAAATAAAGCCTGTGAAGTGATGACAGTCGAATCGTGTCTGTGAATTCGTACTGAAGAAAGTGTAACCGTTTCATTTCCTTTCATGATTGTAATTCTTGAAGTTGTAACTTTTCATTTCATATTCTAATGGATGCTTCAGCTTTTAATTTGTGTGTGATTTATCTCAGACACAGGCAGGTAACGGGTGGAATGTTAACGGGTTCGGGCGGGTGCGGGTTTAACTTTGATATAATCACAGGTTAACGGGCAGGTGAGGTGCTGTAAGTGCGGGTTTCCAAAAATGGACCGGTGCAGGACTCTGGCCCGAGCCACCTCACCTCGGCTCTACTCCGAGCTCCTCCCGTGTGACCGAGCTCCTCAGCCTATCTCTAAACGAGCGCCCAGCCACTCTGCAGAGGAAACTCATTTCAAGCGCTTGTATCCGCGATCTCGTCCTTTCGGTCATTACCCAGAGCTCATGACCAGAGGTGAGGGCAGGAATGAAGGTTGACAGTAAATCAATAGCTTTGCCTGTCGACTCCCTCTCCCTCTTCACTACAACGGTCCAATTCAGCGACCGCATCACTGCAGACTCTGCACGCCTTCAGTATAATCATTTGGATGATTTCAGCTCTTTAATTTCCAATCTATATTAAACAAAAGATAAAAGGCAAAATGAAAACGCTTCATGACATCACAAGGAGCACCTAGGGTCATGACCTCTGGGTAATGACTGAAAGGACAAGATTGCGGATACAAGAGGTCACTATGAGTTTCCTTCGCAGGGTGGCTGGGCGCTCCCTTAGAGATACGATGAGGAGCTCAGTCACACGGGAAGAGCTCGGAGTAGAGCCGCTGCTCCTCCACGTCGAGAGGAGCCAGTTGTGGCAGCTTGGGATCTGTTCCGGATGCCTCCTGAACGCCTCACTCGGGAGGTGTTCATGTCCCACCAGGAGGAGGCTCCGGGGAAACCCAGGACATGCTGGAGGGACTATGTCTCTGCGCTGGCCTGGGAACACCTCGGGGTCCCCCTGGAGGAGCTGGAGGACATGTCTGGGGTGAAGGAAGTCTGCGAGTCTCTGCTTAGACTGCTGCCCCCGCGACCTGGTCCTGGATAAGTGGAAGAAAATAGATGGATGGAGGTTTAGACAGACTAATAATTACAAAGGATTATGCAAACTTTTGTAAAAACACAGTAGAGCACTTCCTGTATCATCACATGACATCACAAATTGGAACAGAGGAGAAGAATTCAGCCTAAATACGCAGGGTTTGTGTGTTCAACATGTGTGAATGAAACAAAACACAACTCCAGGTCTGTTTTTGATGAGCAAACATATGACATTATTATAAGAGAAATCAGAAAATTGCGTAATATGCGTCTTTGAAACACTTCGTAAAGCACAGTCTGGATTCTTTACCCGCCCTGAAACGAGCTGAATAGTAGATTTTGGCCGTGTTTTCCCGTGTGCTGTGGTTGTAGCAGTGGGTGGAGTCTATGGACGCGGTCACTCCTCCTCCTCCTCCTCCGCGCATCTCCTTCTCCGCTCGGACAGTTCACTCTCTGCGCAGAAGACGGATGGTTGGATGGTGACACAAGTTCTCAGCGCCAGACAAGTCCAAACTGGGATCATTTTTTATGCTTATGCGGACTAATCACTTACGAAAATCACCTTCAAACCCTTTTAAATGCTTTGCTAAGTTGGATTCTTACGTATTTTCACCGCGCAGGAGCTGAAATGAATTCCTCTCGGCGTCTTTTCTTCAATACGCACTGATCATGTCGGGATCTGTCGCCGCGTAACGCTTCGTCATGTTTTTCACGCGGAGAAAAGTAGCGGACCATGAAGTTATGGCATAGCCTGACCACTTGTCTGATGCTGTTGCTGAGCTGCGTGCACGCCGGCCCGGTCAGACACACCACGGGAGCGCGCGCGGTGGAGGTAGAGGAGGAGGAGGAGGAGAGACCCTTGGAGATGCCTCCGCCGGTGCGCGTACGACTCTCGGTCAGTGCCCCGGGCAGCAGCGCCGGGGCGTCGGGCAAGTCCACCGTGACGCGTCGGTCCATGGAGGAACAAGAGGAGACGCTGGAAGTTGGAGAAAAGTGTAAGGATCTGTTCTGTATTCTTCTTTTTCTGTTTTTAAGAAGGTCTGATTCGAGACAACTTTTATGGTGTGCCAATTTAGGCTTCATGTCCCAGGCATGCTCCATGATCCAATGCAGACATGTCAAACTCAGGCCCAGGGACCAAATTTGGCCCGTGACAAAATTATATTTGGTCCTCCAGCTACAGATAGACTATAGAGACATTATTTGACTTAAAATTGTGTTAGCATTTTATATTATGCTTGTTCTGGATTCAAGGTTTACCATATTTTCCGGGCTATTAGACGCACTCTAACGCCATCAAAAAACTACCAATGTGCCCCAGAACCCAGAGCGCCCTATACACGAATCCATTCGGGTGTCCCAGCACGACTTCAGTAAACTATAAAGCTGCAGCACCCGCAGCGCACGCAAACACACACAGAGCAGACAGTGACTGCGCAGCGAAAAACACCCACAGTCACACTCATCACTCCACGCCGACGAGGAACGGAACGGAGGAACGAACCGAAAAAGCGAGTGAAACGAGCCACTTCTAGACACGACTGAACAACTGAGTCACTGCGAACACGCCGACAATCCGTTGGTCCCAGACAGCACCCTCCCTACACGCCACAACTGAACAAAGCCCAGAGTCACTGTGAACGCGCCAGACAAAGTCCCACTGACTCATCCAAATGTTGTGTTTCCTTTAAAGTCCGGTGCGGTTTATTTGTGAAAAAAGTTTGAAAATAGACCATTTAATGACAGTGCGTCTTATAATCCAGAGCGCCTAATAGCCTGTAAAATACTGTAAGTAAAACAATTTTTAAACATTTATTTTAATAAGAAAAGGTTTAACATTACATATCTCAAAAGAAGAGAAAACATGCAGATGTTGAAATTTTTCAATAAACATTTAGTTTGGCCCACGACTTTGTGCCAGTTTTTAATTTCAGCCCTCTGTGAATTTGAGTTTGACACTTCTGATCTAATGAAACATGTTCCCAGAGTGTGTTTAGTTTTTTATTTAAAGCCCTAGTTCTTTTCGTCTGGAGCTAAGATGTACAGTATAACCCAGATATTGTCAGGAATACTGTAACTCTCATGTAAAGATTATTAGCCTGTTAGTAGGGGTCATCAAACTAAGGCTCGCGGGCTGACTTTGGCTCTCCACTCCTCTTTGACCGGCCCCCCACCACTTGAACTGGCCCTATGAGGCAATCCTCAAAAATTGTCATGGCCTAAATTTATTTTTGGCAAATAATAACACACTGCACCTTGAGTTTTGTTGATTTTTTCAATAAAAAAAATTATATTTATATGAAGTATTTATATTTATGTTTAAACAATTCTGTGACATATTTACATTGTCGCCAAATCTTCATCACCTGACAAACTCGAGATCAAACAGTGACAGTGAACGCGCGTGCAGAGTTCTGTAGTGCAGGTAAGTCAAAATGACGAGTGTTAAAGTACGAAAAGTTGACAGAGAGTTCAAAGAACAATGGACGACAATTAATTTTTATTATTTATTTGTGGTGCCCAATTTGTACACTAAGTGAAGAGAGTACTATTACATAATTCAAATAAAAAATAACTATATTCTGAAGCAGTTAAAATTGATAAAATGCAGATAAAATTCTTTTGGTCATAAACTGTTACAGAGAAGAGAGCAGAGGAATCCATGTATCATTCATTAATTTGGTTTTGTTTAGTTTTTTTAATAAAACCAAAAATAAGAAAATGAAAAAAGAACTATTTTCTTCATTATTTGTCTTCAAAACCAAAATGAAAAAAACGGAAAACGATTCGTTTTTTCAGTTTTCGATTTTGTGTTTAAATGAATAATGGAAAAAACAGATGAAGGCCATTTCCTGTTTCTGTGACTTAAACTGACTGAACCAGGACTGGACCAGGACAAAACAGCTCTAAACCAGCTCTAAACCAGTCTTAGTCCCGGTCTCAGTCCCAGTCCTTCTTTCGAATTTGTGTTTAAATGAATATTGGAAAAAACTGATAATGGCCGTTTCCCGTTTACGTGAAGTGCTGAACTGAACCAGGACTGAACTAGGACTAAACCAGGACTAAACCAGGACTAAACCAGGACTAAACCAGGACTGAACCAGGACTGAACCAGGACTGTCTGGACGGGCCTGTACGTGCACCTGCGTAGACTGTTGGGTGATCAGGAAACCAGGACCAGACCGGGACTCAGACCAGGACTGAGACCTGGTTCAGTCCTGGTTTAGTCCTGGTTTAGTCCGGCATCGCAGTTTAAGTCACAAAAATGGGAAACGGCTGTTATCTGTTTTTTCATTTTGATTTTGGAGACAAATAATGAAGAAAATAGTTGTTTTTTTGTTTTCTTATTTTTGGTTTTATATTGACAAACGAATGAACGAATGATACACGGATTGTTTTTTTTTTTTCATTTTTCGATTGTGTGTATAAACAAATAATGGAAAAAATGGGTAACAGCCAATTCCCATTTCTATGACTTAAACTGGGACTGAACCAGGACTGAACCAGGACTAAACCAGGACTAAACCAGGACTAAACCAGGACTGAACCAGGACTAAACCAGGACTGAACCAGGACTGAACCAGGACTGAACCAGGACTAAACCAGGACTGAACCAGGACTAAACCAGGACTAAACCAGGAATAAACCAGGAATAAACCAGGACTAAACCAGGACTAAACCAGGAATAAACCAGGAATAAACCAGGAATAAACCAGGACTAAACCATTTTCAGTCCTGGTCTCAGTCCTGGTCTCAGTCCTGGTCTCAGTCCTGGTCTCAGTCCCGGTCTCGGTCCCTTAAGTCACAGAAACGGGAAAAACATTATCCGTTTCTCTATTATTCATTTAAACACAAAATCGAAAAATGAAAAAAAGTAATCATTATCTGTTTCTTCATTTTGGTTTGGGGACAAATAATGAAGAAAATAGTAGTTTTTTCATCTTATTATTTTTGATTTTATATTGAAAAACGAATGAATGAATGATACACAGATTCAGAGGTCTGTCTCACATCTTCATATCCATATTTTAGCTTCAGTTTTTTAGTTTTTTTCTTTTTCTATCACAGACATTTTGGAAGAATCACTGCTGGACGACTATGCGGACGTAGTGGACCTCATCAAAGTCACCATCAGTCGAATACACCACTCTTCTCCCTTCAACTCCTCCTCCTCCTCTACCCCAGCTACAACCTCCAGGACTAGACACAGACGGGCCAAGAAGAGGGGACCGTCCACCCAGCAGAGGAGGGGGGTGGTGGGGAAGCGCGCGAGGGGAGGGAGGGGTAAGAACCAGGGCTGTGTGCTGAGGCAGGTGCAGCTGAACGTGACCGACCTGGCCCTGGGCTACCGCTCCAGCGAGGAGATGATTTTCAGGTACTGCGCCGGACCGTGCAGGAAATCAGAGACGAACTACGACAAAATCCTCTCCAACCTGGTCCAGAGCAAGAGGCTGCCCCCCAGAGACCGCCCCGCCCAGGCCTGCTGCCGGCCAGTCGCGTTCGACGATGACCTCTCATTTTTGGATGATAACTTGATCTACCACACCATGAGGAAGCACTCCGCCCGAAAGTGTGCGTGTGTGTGACCAGAAAAAAGACAGGACTGAAAAAAAACCAATGTAAAATCAGGAGTTAAAGATCCTGTCTTACACAAAACAGACTCTTGTGAGCTTTAAGTCGTGTTAGAATGTTGTTACCTCCTCAAAAACCTACTTGGAGTTGTGTTTTGTTTCATTCTTATTGAGTAATCCTTTATTGTTTGTCTGTCTACATCTCCAAAGCTCAAAATTCTCTGTTCCACCTTGTGATGTCATGATGTTTCTAAGTTAACAGGTACATTTTACCTTTAGTTCAGTGGAGATGAGAGACGTGAAATGATCCACATGATTCTAGTGAAGGTCTATGGAGTTTAAAAACACAGTGGAGCACTTCCTGTATTGACTGTTTTTAGTTTGAGAGAAGAACTCCTAGTGCCTGAATTTCATTTCTCTCCAGCAACTAGGTCAGGAATCGGAATACACTCGACGGTTTGCAAGAACCTCGGAAGTGCGAGTCCAGAGGAGCCGTACATTCTGTGTTGGCAACGATTCCGGAGATTGAGGATTTAAAGCCGAAACAAAGGCTACGTTCAGACTGCAGCCTGAAGTGACCCAAATCCGATTTTTTCAAATGTGACCCAGGCCACTTGGATATGTGCTCCTAAAACTGACACATATCTGATCTTTTGACATGTGACTTCAGTCTGAACGGCCAAAGTGCATTCATCCACCTACACGTTATCAACAAGCCACAAACGTCACTAATCTGCGCTGAAGTAGGTGAAAATTGTTAATGAACTCCGTGTCACTGAAGTGAAGCACATCACCACTCACCACTCTTAGCTCCGTCTCCACATCCACACGTTCCTTCCATCGCTGCCGCTGTCCCACAAAACGCCATGACCAAAAACCTCGTCCTTCTCCTTCTCAGTCTCCTCTTTAAAACAAGTAAGTTGTTCATGTTCTGGCTCCGGTACGAGAGGAACTTTAAAATCTCCAGCGCCCATGTTTGGACAGCTTCCATAAACACAGAGCACGCTCGCTGCAGTTGACGTCGTCGTGTCTCCAGTGCACACGCAGGACACTTTTGGGACGTTTAATGTTCACACTGGAGATCACATACAAGTCACATTTAATTGGAAATGTGAACGACCTCGCAAAAACATCGGATTTCACAAAAAATCCGAACTGAGCGTTAAGGCCTGCAGTCTGAACGTAGCCTAAGGGGAATGTTTGGTGAATTTTATCAAGGGGAAAGACGTTATTGTCCTTCTTCCTACGGGATTTGTGAAAAGCTTAATATACCAGTTAGCCCCGTTAGCAGCGCATTACATACGTCACGACCAAATAGCAGCGATGAATTAAATAAAAAAAGTACCCGCCAACCGTTGAGCGAACGAATCCTCATGATACGAGGTCAGACAGTTTCTACAAAGTGAAACCGGGTGATGAATCAGGCTAGAACTCAGCCTAAATGTGCAGAGTTTGTGCGTTAAACGTGTGAAAAACAAAACACAACTCCAGGTCTGTTTGTGATGAGGAAACAAAATTATAGCACAGATCAGAAAATATTAATATGGGCTCTTTAAAGGTGCACTGTGTAACTTTTCTGGTGGTGTTCTGTCAACTGAAGTCTCTATGGTCTCGCCTCTCCACAGTTCTGATATGTAACTTGGCTGGTGGCATCACGTGCTTGTCTGGAGATGGATTAGTTCAGGGGTGTCCAAACTTTTTTCATCAAGGGCCACATATCTGAACACAGACGAAGCAGAGGGCTGATCGAGGGCCGTAGACTGATGCTCAATACAGTGAATTATTGAAATATGTGCAGGTTTAACACATTAGAATGAGTCATCAGTCCTTTATTCACGCTAAGATCCTTAAAACCACACACTAAATATTAAATATGAGCTTTATCAAAGTAGATTTAAAAAAAACTTGCAGTAAAAAATTATTTTCTGTCTGAGGGCCAAGAAAAAAGTGTTTTAGGGCCTCATTTGGTCCACGGGCCATTGTTTGGACATGCCTGCACTAAGCAAACAACAAAACTGTAGCTGTAACAAAATAAATTAGTAAAATATACCAAAAAATAATACTCTTGGTGATATATCGATACAGCAGGCCATGATATCAATACTGTATCAAAATAAACAACACGATATATCAATATTTTGATATTTTTGCACAACATTAGTTTTCAGTGCCATAATAATCAGCAAATAATTCGACAAAATTGTAAAAGCGTTGTCTGAGGGCCAAGAAAAATTTGTCTGAGGGCCGCATTTGGCCGCCGGGCCATAGTTTGGACATGCCTGGATTAGGTGAATGTTTTAGTGCAGGAAAAGCAGTAACATCGCCACGGAGACGAGAAATTCCCATCACCAAAAACGTTCCACAGAGCACCTTTAAGATATAAACCTTTACTGACCTCACAGTGGAACAGTCAACCAAGAATGAACTCTTTGGAATTTGTTCTGACAGATTTCCAAACATCTAGAAAAGTGGTTCTCAAACGGTGGTACATGTGCAAACGGTGATACACACATTCCTCTGTATTTTTCCTGCATTATTAGAGTCATGTTTTTGCCACAGAGGAACGCTCTTGTGCAGTGGAGCTCAACAGTGTTCGCTCGCTCCGGTTTCCCGTTCATGTTTTTCATAAAGTTTACGAAAAATTCAAATATTAAGAGTTCAGAAATTAACCATGCAAACTGATATCCATAATGCAGTTTTTTAAAGTCCAAAAATCACATTTAAAACACACGAATCTGTGAAATGCATTAATAACTTAGCGGTTTATGAGGTTTCAGAAACAGATTTTAGATAAAATTATAGGTCTTGTGGTCATTAGTTTTCTCATTACTGATTAGCCTTGAGAAACCTTTCAAACTTTAAATTTATTATTTATTACTTTTTACTTTTAATTTATTAATTCATTTTTCATTTTTTTATTCTTCTTATTTTTTTTATTCTTCTTTTTTTTTTTTTTTTTTTATAGTTATTCTTCTTATTTTTTATTTTTATTTTTTTTTATTGAAATTTACTTCTGGAACTGGTGTTGATCACTGTTGAACTCCATTGGGGTTAGCCCTTGTTTAAAGCAGGAATAGACCTGGTTTAGACTTGGAGGCTCCTGAAAAATCTATATGCCGGCTCGTCCACAAACACAAGAGACACGAGGTTCTTTTTTTTAACTGATGTTTACTGCGGTCTTGATGGCATCAAAGTTCACAGTGTAGAACTAAAAACATAGAATAGAACATGAGATCTAGCTCACATTATAAACACAACGTTGCAAATTAATACATAAACATACATACCTCTTTGACCTGCAAGTAAACAAACCGGTGAAGTAAACTTTTAACCCTCTCAGGCTCAAATAAATTTTTAGTATCAGGAAAAATCTGATATTTGGGGAAAATTATAATATGGGGTAGTAATATACAGTCCTGACCTTTTTATCATTTGTTAAAAAAAAAGTATTTTGCACTTCTGGCAGGCCGTTTGTGTGTAGCCATTCTTCTGCATCGCCCACTTTTATCAGCATGGATGGGAGAAAAGGCTCCTGAGTAAAAAAAACTCATAAAATATGGATTTAGAGTAAGTAGGTAATTGGAATTTAGCTGTTGCAAATCTGCAACGCCTGCCTGGAGAGGGTTAATATTAACTTTTGCAACAGATTTTCAATTAGTGTTGTCAGGTCTGACTTCTCATTAACGTAAAATTTAACCGGAAAAGGAGGTTTTTGTTGTTTTTTTAACCTTTAACTAAACTTGGAAAAAACTAAAAATTCACAATATTGCACAAAATAAAATAATATTGCTTATAAATAGTCTTATAAATGATTTACAAATAATGAGAAACCAAATATAAAATAGTATAAAAGAAAACAAAAAAATGTTCTAACATGAAATCTAAATACACCAGCGCCATCTATGGGCACAACAAATCAACTGCTAAACTTATTGTCAGCTGTTACAGTCTAATACTTTCTAAGTGGTACATGGTTAAACTGGATTGTCACATTTAATCCACCATTTTGCACGGCTCCCGGCTGATACATTTGAGTCCACACAACTTTGGTCCATTACAGAAACCAGAGTTTCTGTCAAAAACGTTTTTAAAATAATTTCTAATAAGGAAGCTGCTGCACATTCATTCAGCCAAAAACTATATTGTTTCATTATTGAAGCGTCTCTTGGCTCTGGGTTTGTTCTGATTGGCTCAGACTCAGCTGAAACTCGTCCTCTTCCCAACAGAAGCCGTTCCAGATTTATTAACACCAGAGTTTATCAGCGCTGTAATCGCACTCTGCCTTTTGCCTTTTGCCTGTTTTCTGTTTGGAGTGAAAAGTTTGAGAGCCATTTATCCATAACAACTACTTAATTCCAAGCTTTTCCAAACTTTTCAGAACAAGCGCAACATATTTTGCCTTCAGTCAAAGCCGTGTAGATATATAATGTGTTGCAGGCTCAGCGTAAACATAGCTGGTTTATGTAACACCTGCAGAGTCAAATAGTTTCTAAGGTTGTCGAGTGTTTGGAGTGAAAAGTTTGAGAACCACTGAACTAGAGGAACTAACTCGAAACTGGTCAAAACCTCTCAGACGAAGCTACATATTTTGTCTTCTTTCAGAGCTGTCCAGATATTTGGTGTGTTGCAGCTGGTTTTATTTAACACCTGTAGAGTCAAATATTTTCTAAGGTTTTAACCAATTTGGAGTGAAAAGTTTGAGAAACAATTGATCTAGAATAACTAACTCCAAACTGGTCAATTTTTTTTCTGATGAAGCTACATATTTTGTCTTCATTCAAAGCCATGTAGATATATGGTGTGTTGCAGCTGGTTTATTTTAACACCTGGAGAGTCAAATATTTTCTAAGATTGTAGCCTATTTGGAGTGAAAAGTTTAAGAACCACTGATGTACAATAATTAACTCCAAACTGGTCAAAACCTCTCAGACGAAGCTACATATTTTGTCTTCTTTCAGAGCTGTCCAGATATTTGGTGTGTTGCAGATGGTTTATTTTAACACCTGGAGAGTCAA